CCATTGACTCGTAGCATCCTTGTACAGAGTTTAAGTGGCTTCCTGTATTGGCAAGAGCTTGCTTAGCGCTGTGAGCTGTAATGTCGTCCTTGTTCAATAAGAGTTGTTCTAAAGATCACATATCCAAAAATGGACACCGAGATAGTTGAAACCAATTGTCACCTTCCGTCAACTGTGCGAACCGCATCAGCTAAACCGTGTATTTTTGTCTTTCGCTTATTATTTTTCCCATAAACTGTATGGGCATTTTGTTCCGTTTGGGGGTTTTCGTTGCCACACCACACCTATAGCGGGGCCCGAGTTAGTGTACAGTGTTGTGTCGTGCTGGTCGTCCTACCTCGCTGGCCTCGGCTGGGGCATGGCTGGCCGCTCTCGCTGCGCGCGCTGACAGCTCTGCCGCCGGCGCCGCCCTCTCTCCCCAGGCGTGCTCTCTCGCTCTGCCAGTTTCCGGTCCGCGCGCACGCCGACGTTCATTGCGCGTGCGTACAGCGAGTCACCTCACATCACCAGGTAATGAGAGCATGGCACTGCATCGCTGGATGGTGTGACTGTCCGTCCAACGCGCAGCATAGCCTGGCACAGCGTGCTACACCGGTGCCGGCCCGAGACCTCTGGGGGTTGGGAGTTGTGTCTGGAGCATGACGGTGATCAAAATACAGAACGGGACAAGACGAAACGAGCTGAATTTGAAATAGGCTACGCGCATGGTGTGGTTGGCTGTTTGTATTAATTTTGGTTATAGCCTTTAACTGACTTTAACCGAGTGATGCTATGATGCTATTTGAATAAGAAATTATGTTTTTCCCATCGATGGATAATGAAGGCTGGATAAGCTACCTATTTATTTGCTTTCACTCAGGAAGTACTGCTGATTGCTTCCTGGTGTTCATGTTTACCCAGTGGCTGCGATTAGCTCTTATCGTCCATGTGTTAAAACTGCGTGGACTTGAACCACATGTCACTGACTCCGTATCCGTCTGTCTCGCAGAGTGAGCCCGCGCTCACCGCTGAAGAGCGACCCGGTGCGGCGGCGCTCCCGCCGCTCGGAACCGGACGACGGCTCCCCGCCCCAAGTCACCGCCATCGTCGAGAAGAGCGACTCCATCAGCTGGGTGCTCGACCTGGAGTCGTCGGGTCGCGGCTCGTCGGCAGAGCCGGACGAGGCCGGCGACTCTCTCGATTCGCTGCGACTCGGCGGGCGCGGTGTGTCACGCTCTCCGCCCTCCGCCAGCGGCGCCAGTCACGGCGGCTCGGAGAGCTCGGATTCTGAGGAGGCCGACCGGGATGCCGATCGGGACGGAGTGTTTTACCAGCTGGCCGGACCGCGCTCGGCGCCTGTGGCCATCAACGGCGGTGGGCCCGCCTCGCTGCCCATCGAGCACATGCGGCAGATCCCCGAGTCCTCTGAGGGGACCGAGATCTAGCGGCGCGCTGTGACTGAGGATGCCATCGACGGAGCGCGCCCAGCGTGAGAGGATGTGTTGGATTGTGATGCTGTGCTCGCCATTGAGTGTTTTATTTATTTTGCCAGAGATGGCGCTGCTGTTGGTGGCAATGTTTTGCAGGTGGCGCTAGGGTCGCTGCAATGTGCCGGCGAAGTTCAGGAGGCCAAATATTCACCCGTGATCGGTGGTTCGTTTGTGTGAGTGTTGACCGAAAACATTCCAAGCTTTTGCTTTTGTTTGTGATGATGTGTGTGGTAAAGTCTGCGCTGCATCAGCTGATGTATGATCTGTGTATATGGATGGTTTCTTAACAGACGTTTGTTCTCACTATGTGTTAGAGGTATGGTTTGTCACTGGTAAATATTCGCAGCAGTGGGCCTGGGAAGATTACGTCTTTTCTGTGCCCATCCGGCTGGATTTCGCGAAATGTACATGGCTTTGAGAAGCCCGTACAAGTACCTGCACGTGAGACCGATTCTCGGTTATGTTTTGGCGGAACCGCCTCGTTTTGGCGTAAACACACGAATGTTCGTAAACGACGTCGCGGTGTTTGTAAGGCGCTGGTTAGACCGGCGCTGTACGCTGCGAGCTGAGTACAGTTCCCACGGAGCCGCCAGCGCCGTCTGGGGGGCTCGTCTGGGAACTGCAGCGGCCTGCGGAGGCGCCTGCATGACGCTAGTCTAGTTTAGTTGTGCCGGAGCTGGGTGTGGTGGGTTTTGTGGCGCCTCGCGCGCTGGCCGGGTGCGGTGCTGCCGCCGCCGCCTTCACCGACCGAACTGTGTCCGAGCCTGTCGTGCCCTGCACTTTTAATTCAGCTCGTGTTCACCGTTTGTGTTATTGATGAGTAAATAAATGGCCGTAAGAGCGTTATAATTCGAGTGACTGTAGCTAAGCAGGGGGTCCATGAAAAATGGAATGGACGATACCGAGCCAATTGACCGGTAGACGAAGAAATTAATTTCTTAGTTTTTTCGACTTAAAAGGGTTCAAGGGGAGATACTTTAGGTATAGTCTTGTTGCTATCGGCTGCGCGTAGGTATAGGTATAGTCACTTGCCCGTGCCTTCGGGATGCCGCTTTTCGCGTGGATGTGGAATTTCCGCGCTGAGGAATTCCTTACGGGAACAGCAACAGGCGTTCGGGCATCGCGAAACGTGACGAATCGCGCGGGATCCCACGAAACGGGCTTGCGCGAACGGCCGTTTTTGTGAGGAATTCCCAGGCGTGGAAATTCCACGCGAAAACGGCACGTCCGAACGCACTTAACAGTAAACACCCTGACGCGGGACATGATGGTGAACATCTAATGGCTTATGATGTAAATAGATAATAAAGGAATATTTCATTTCTCATTTCGATAGTTCACTTCATTTAACGGTTTGGGTAGATGGATTCTGTCAAGGTCTATCTGACGTAAGGCTATGTGCAATGTAAATGATCTGACACAAGGTATAGACGTAAAAACGTTCATGTATTGTGTTGAAGCGAGTCGCGAAAGAAAAAACTGAAATAAAAGCTTGAAATGGTAGCAGATTTGCTTTATATGAGGGGTGTTCACGGGCACCGCACACTGCTGCGTGCGCTGTGTGCGGTACGTCCAGCAGGCGTGGGGGTAGGGGATGGGTAGGCGGCTCTGACGTCACGGCTGCGTGCGGTGGACGGTCCGCTGTGGCCAGTCCCGACCGGCCACAGCGGTCGCTGTGTGCGGTGACGCAAGGCTGACGTAGGGACGCAGTGGGCGGAGCTTGGAGGCTGTGTGCGGTCCGACCGCACACAGGGTCCGTGAACAGCCCTATGGTAGCGCTATGAGTTGGTGTATTTGCGCCGAATGTGGCGCGAGTTATGCGATTCCTTGGGAAAGTGAAAGTGTTTTGTTGATTTATTCTCTGCATTTTTCACAATTACAGTGGTATGCTTTTGTTTTTCCTTTTTCACCACACTATATTAAGAAATATGAAGTGCCAGGCACTCTTCTATTACCCTCGAGTAGCCACAATAAGTGTGTGCAACATGGCCATTGTGGGTCAACATATGGGATGCCTCAGTGTCAGGTCTGCTCAAAAAAGAAATAACTGTTAGCTTTCATCGAATGCTTAAACAATTCATAAACCTAAGGAAAGGCTTTTTTTAAATAAGGGGGCTCAGTTCTAATGCTGTTGTTGCTGTCTCAGTCTGCCAAAGGGTATTTGACGGATCCTGTGGGTAAACCAATCTGAACCAGAGAACAGTGTTACCAACAGGCAACAGCCAAATCTCTGGCCGAAGCTAATTTCTGCCTAATGGCACCCCAAATTTTGCCATCCTGATCCATGCTGAAGAAATAGATGCTGATCACTGATAAGCATTCATAATAGGTACTAAGTCCAACTGGTATGTTTTCATGACATTACACATCATCTTTTTTCCAGACCCCATGTTTCATTTGGGGCCTGGGGGAGACTTAATAATATTAAATTGTTGGAAGCCAGTGGTTGTTCTGTTAGTAAAATTGGCCTTGGGTCAGTTAACCTGAAACTTATTGGCAATGCTGCAATGCTGAGGTGTTCAATTACCTACCTATCTTTTGAAAAGACGGAGGGTAAAGGAAATGATTAGTCATCAGAACCCATATAGCAGAAAGTTTTCCAGTAAGGTTGTGTGATAATGAAACAAGGTAGACACCAAATAAAGTGAAATTAGCACCTGCAACTGCAGGCACAAATGCAACTTATATTAAGTAACTATTTCATTTTGTAAGCACCAGCCATTGCTTCATTTTTCATTATTCCATTCCATTCCAACTGCATAACAGTATATTGAGTTTTGCTTAAGCTCATAATCAGATCAGTTTTAACAATTAAAGTGGCTTTGACATCTAAATACAAAATAACTTTATACAGTAGGTAGGTACTAGGTATCAGCTGTATGATATCTCTTGACATATGCTGTATGCATTATGCAATCAGTTTGCTTTGGATAGCTGCGACCAAACCAAGATGACCAACTTTTGATGTGACTTGTGAGGCTATTCCACTCCACAGTTTTTAACTGTCAGAGCTTGCCACTAACACTTAGAGAACTAACAACTAACACTGTCTTATTCATGTCAGACTGACCAAATGTCAGACTAACATGGATTGCCCTTTGCAGTGGATCATTAAAACTGGGTGAATATACAGTCTGGAGTGATTAAAAGAGCCCTCATTAAATATTGTTCAATGTTGTGTTGTGTGAGATCTGCTCTGGCGAAATGTCCTTCAATGATAACAGTCCAAATTTGTGCAGTCACTGCTCAAATGATTCGGTTATCAGAGCACTGACAGGCCACTGCCTAGTGCCTAATGATATGATATCAGACAGGCTGGTGATTTTATGCCTCCCATTTCAAGTTTATGTACTAATCATCCCTGGGCAGTGGGCACTGATATGCTACCCACCTCTTAGAACAATATTTACATGACAAAATGCTACACATTACATTAAATTGCTTCACATTACAAAATGACCACTTTGCAATGCATGACCACTGCCAGTTTTTCTTCATTTCATTTATTATGCTAAACTACTGATGAGCTATAATGAGCTGGCATTTTCATTGTTTGGTATAATTCATAATATGCCACAATGCATTATAATGGTTTTAAGCTTGCCTTGCTTTAGGCATCATTTTGTGCACCTCCCTCAAAGCCATCTCTCCTCTGCTTACAGGTGAAAGAGGTCCAGCTCAGCTACGTATTTAAAATCATAATCTACAGTCATCACTCAGGGGCCTGTCAACTCGCCTGGAGCCACCCAGTCTCTGCATCCGTGAGCCACTCTTCTCCCTATTTTTAACCTCCACCTCCCCTACTCTCTCCACCCATCCTCTCCTCTCTCCTCTGCCAGACATCCACTCGCGATGGCCTTCAAAGACCGGACCGGGGAGTTTTCGGCTGTGCTCCGCTCGCTGCAGAGTCGCCAGCTCAATGGAGGTCTGGCGCAGGCGCCTCCGTCCCCGCGGCCGCGCGCCGTGCAGAGGTACGCAGAGTTCATGCGGATCGCCAAACTGATCGGAAAGGACATCTCCAACACGTACGCCAAGCTGGAGAAGCTGACACATTGTAAGTGGGCAGTGGGGAACCGTCCTAAATTAAGAAGATGTCAATATATGTATCAAATGATTCATAATAGTTAAAAATTGATTTCATATGGATTGGACAAAGGCTGGTTCGCTATATAGGACATAGGACGTGTTGATGAATGAATGGCTGAATGAATTGCATATGTGAACTGTCATATTTTGCCATTTTATAACAGCACATGATCTTGATTTTCTCTTACGGTTTAGTTTCTTTGGTGTTAAGCATAAATATATTAATGTATGATCTGACGTGCATATTATCTGCACGCTTGTTTGACTAGATCCCATATAAAACATCATGATATTGACGTTTCGCCGTCCGCCACTGTATGAGGTGTAGAATTAACTCCACCTTCCACTTCTCGCAGTGGCCAAACGCAAGTCCATCTTCGACGACCGGCCTCTGGAGATCGAGGAACTGACTCAAATCATCAAACACGACATGGGTAGCCTCAACAAGCAGATCCTGCAGCTGCAGCAGCTGAGCCGGCAGCGCGGCACCGAGGCGGGCGGCGGCAACGTGCACAACTTCTCCAACAACGTGGTGGTGACGCTGCAGCAGAAGTTGGCCAACATGTCGTCACAGTTCAAACAGGTGCTCGACGTTAGGACTGAGGTGAGAAGTGGCGGGAACCGCTGGTGTGTGTGTTAGGGAGGGGAGGGGAGGAGGGGAGACTGAGTCTGCTAAGACGTGGTATCTAATTGGAATGTAAACTTCTGACTGCAACCATAGCGATGAGTCTAAAACAATTGTCGGCTTATGTGCATTTTTAGGAGCATATAGCATTCAAGCATTCATTTTTCGTATTTGCTTAGGGCGGTACGGCTTAGCCCGCTACGCACTTGACCGCCCAAACACCTACATTCTACATCCTCTGCACAATATCGCATCAACCACGTCCGTTCTGACTAACCCCTGCCCTCCCCGTCCCCTCTCTCAGAACCTGCGTCAGCAGAAGTCTCGCCGGGACCAGTTCTCTCGGGGCGGCGTATCGTCCAACCTGCCTCCCTCGGCCACCGAGGGCTTCCACCAGGGCTCTGTGCTGCTGGCCGACGAGGCTGCCAGCGCGGCGCGAGCGGACGTCGCCCTGGACATGGATGGTGTTCGGGAGAGGCGGCCGGCGGCCGGAGCGGGGGCGGGGGCCGCCGCGCAGCAGCAGCAGATGATGCTTATTGAACAGGAGGTGAGTGGTTTTGGGGAGGGGTGGGCCATGGTAGGGTATGGGTGTGCGATGAGTTTAGGTGCTGACAGCAGCAGATGATGCTAATTGAACAGGAAGTAAGTGGTTTGTGGGAGAGGTGAGCCAGGGTAGGGTAGGGGTGTGTGATGGTTTTAGGTGCTGACAGCAGCAGAACAGGAGGTGAGTCTGGTTTGTGGGTCCAGTGATCTAGCTAGGACCTAGAGCTAGAAGGGCGAGAGCGAGATAAATGCTATCGTTTATAGGTGAGGATAAACAGTGTCACAGTGAGGGTCAGAGAAGTTATTTCCATGAGAGTGAGGAAGGAAATCAAAAGGCTGTTCTTTATTGAAATACAGGGTGGGGCAGCATAATCGGGAATAAATATCAAACGGGATTATTTGGTCATGAATCTAAAAATATAGCTCCAAGCACTATTTTAGCAACATCCTATCAATCGGTCACCTTTTACCTATCCCTCATCCTATTTGACCGCCCTCGGCGTCGATGACCTTCTCAAGGCGGGTCCAAAAGCACGCGCATGCACGTGCAACCTCCTGCTTGTCCATGATCGCCCATCAGCTTCGTACCTTGCACTGAAGACTGTTTTTACTAATGATAAGTTGTTCATTAAACTTCTACCAAAAAACGCTCCATGTAAAGAATTTGGTCGGATTTAAATCGGCGGAGTTGAAGGACCAGAAGTTTTTGGTTCATCTCAGGTGGAGGTGCCCTACACAATAACATGTCGTCCCCACTGCAGTACCAGCACGGACAGAGTCCTCGTAAGACGTGATTTGGACCGTCAGTGATCCTCTCTTCCGACGGCTCCACGTGAGTCTGCCAGAGTGCGGTTGTATTTACCAGAGGTGCTCATTTTATCCGGGCTCGATGAAGTAGGGTGCACCACGTGCACCTCCCTTGAAGACCACCCATAGGTCCATCACCCCAACAGGATGTTTACTTTGCATGACCGCTGGAATATTCTCGATACAATCCCCTATATGGCATGCCATTCTTTTTTATCGTATTCCAGTCGGTGATAAGATTTTTTGTCGCTGAAGTTTTGAACATTGTTTCTTTTTAATATGCTCAAGTGCTTCTTCCTTATATTCAAGTGAGTCATCTTGTATGTCCTCTGCTAAGAGTTATTTTACGACGATTACGTTAACCTGTTGTCCTAAGTATCCCCACACAATCCTTATCGTCCGTGATAACACGTTGACCTGCCCAGCAACCTTTACGTGGAATTGCAGGGTTTTAAACAAAATGTTCTTGTTTTACTTGTTTAACATTAGTGTCTATGGGCGCGCGCAAAGCACTTGGAGCACCGTCGAACTATTTTGCTGCTCTTTTCCAGGAAGTTGCATGCTCATGGATGTAGTCATGTCAGATGATGCACAACTTTTGGGCGTTTCATTGCCATAATATAATTTATAAAAATAATGCCATGCCTACTCATGATCAGAGCCCAAAAAGCATTCCCGATTATGCTGCCCCACCCTGTAATTATCGTCGGGACGTAAGCCAATTATAAAACTCCCTCTTGTTTCCATTTTTGTTGAAAATAGCATTTGACTTGAATTGCTAACGATATAGCCACGCATTCATTTAGCCCGCTACTGAATCGAAAGTCACTAATTGTATCCGTTATCCACTTGCGAGTCTTTCACTAGGGCACCCTTCAAAGGCGTTATAGGACTGCAGAGCCCAGGGCGCCCGCTGATACGTTATCCGATTTCAGAACACCCTAGTCTGACCCTGTCATGTGATTCCAGGACACGCACTACCAGGCGCGCTCGGAGACCATGAAGAACATCGAGTCGACGGTGGTGGAGCTGGGCGCCATCTTCCAGCAGCTGGCGCACATGGTCAAAGAACAGGAGGAAATGGTCCAGAGGTCAGTCGGGAGAAACCTTCCTGCCAGGCCGTGCAGTCAGACTCAGGCTTACTTATTGATTGCCTATTTGGTCCAGAAGTTGGTCGAGATAAACCCAACCAGTTAGGCCATAAGGTGCAGACAGGCTTCTTGGAGCAGCTTGGATGCTGAGAATTTATGGACCGTTTTCTAGCACCGATTCATGGATCTCCAGAATCCAAATTATTCCCATGCCGTGAAAAATAGTGTTTCATCATTGTCATAAATATTCTTATTTTTGCAGTAGCATTGGCGTGATTGAGGCAAGGGTATTATTACACCTGTAATGCACCCGCCTGCCTGGGGGTTCACAGGATCATTGGCGCTCTATGGTTGAATTTCTTAACACAGTGACTGATTGGGTGTTTTTTTCCTGCCTCTGTCAAGCTGCAGTAGCTTGAACCTTCCACCGATTTCTCGTTAAATGCACTGTTCCCTCTACCTTGATTCCTTTCACCAACGTCTCTCTCCAAATGCGCCGTTCCATTAGCGGCTCCAATGACAGTGACGGCTCTGACGCCGGTTACGAACAATGACTGGTCGGCTACCCAGTTTCCTGATGGGCTTGTCGATCATGCCATGGGTTGGCATTGACTTGCCCTGGTTCGGTTGGGATTAACCCGCGCACCGACGGGGGGGGGCGGATATCCGCCCCCCTGATGTTTTTCGCGAATAGCGGGAAAACCGCGGCGCGTAGCGCCGCGAAATTTTGTATGACTATAACCTCATCAATTTTACACATGGTGTGCAAGTTTGAACCTCCTACCTTTTAAGGTCAGGTCACCAGGTCACTTTGAATGACCCAACCTCAAGTCACTTTTTTGCAACTTTGTCACCGTGCCAGAGCTACAGTAGATGTCGGAGGCCTTTGAAAGTCGCAGGATAGTATTAGGTCATTAGTAGCTACAATTTGTATATCTCGGAATTTTGATATCGGTGACCTAAGGTCAGGTCAATTTCGCGACCTCCCCATTATAAGTCAATGGGGGAAAAATCAACTCCCTGTTTTTACCACTAAAACGGGTCGGAATGGCCCCATATACCATACATGACTTCATATACGATCAACCTTCACTACCTTGAGGTCTGTTTTGCTGTTGGGCAGCTGTGAGGTCATGTGACGTCATCAAAGGTCACCAAAGGTTTTTGGCCAATAACTCCGTACAGGAACAAGATACAGACGCGTGGATGGCTTCATTGTGTTCAGCTCGTCAAGACGCATCGAATGATATACATGATGACCTCGAGGTCACGTGACCTGAGGTCAACCTTTGACCTTGACCTTTCGAGGTCACCATATATATCATTCGATGCGGATTGACGAGAGGATCACGATAATGCCCTTAGTTTGTTCCTATCTTGACTAATTCGAAAGTTATTCGAGAAAAACTCTCTCCATATCTAGCGCCGCCATTTTGACTTTTTCGATCCCTGTGACGTCATCTTTGACCTGACCTGAAAATGACCTTAATAAAAATTGTAGATCTTGGCCGTGCGTATCCGATGCCGTTTACCGCTTGTCGCTATCTTGCTTCGTTCTCGAGATCTCAGGGGGGGGCGGTCATCCGCCCCCCCCCCCCCCCCGTCGGTGCGAAGTTGGCGCAGACCCCCGTCGGTGCGCGGGTTAATGAGAGCGCAGCGCCACCTATGAATTGCTATGTGAAAGCGTTCCTATTATTTACGAGGCCGTCTTACAGCTGCATTTCTTTCTTTCATTTCCGTTCTTGCTGTTTTAACTGCACTGCATTAGCTTTTTTTTTCGTACCGATTATTCCTGGAATCCGACTGGCATCATTATGTACATTTAGAGCTTTGTGGTTACTGGCTATGCACTAGCCATGAGCTCGGCGAAACTCGGCTTTTCTGCACTCCTGGAAATTCCATATTCGTGTTCTATCCTAATTCCTAACTATAGCTACCCACCACCCACACCACTGATGATCATCCCAGTCGCATTGGGGGGGGGGGGGGGGGGGGGGGTAAGTAAGTACGTGGATCATCGATGCTTTTGAAGGCATGCAAGCTACCTGTTTCCGACCGATGTTGTAAACGATTGATAAATCAGTGCCGTCCGGTTCGATTCCAACGTTCTGTCAGCTTTTGAGACGAGTTCTTGAGAGCCCTGCGGTCCTCATAGGTCCCGAAAATTAACAATTCAACAATCAACTCTGGCTACTCTGGTAATCATTTTCCTCCATCGCAGGATCGATGCTAACGTCGAAGACACGTCTATGAACGTCGAGGCTGCCCACACGGAGATCCTGAAATACTTTCAGTCGGTGACCAACAACCGCTGGCTCATGATCAAGGTGTTCGGCGTGCTCATATTCTTCTTCCTCATCTTCGTCGTGTTCATGTCCTAGCGCGGAGGTAGACTGGGCGAGCTGCGGCGCCAAGAGTGGTGGGCTGTGAGTGATGGAACGTACCGTGTATTGATACACAGTGAAATCGTACGCTCGGGAGCGAGCGTAGTTAATCTAAGCTGACTGGACCTGATGTTAGACGGCGCTCAGCAGACGGAGTGAGCGACGGTAACCTGAGGAAGCTGGACGAGCGTCGCCTGTAGTTACGGTAGGTGCTCTTTGTGGTCGAGTTAAAATCTAGAAACATTTTATATCGTCCACGGACGATAAGCGGGTCATGTGATACCGATTGATGCCGATTGCATGTTTATATGCGATGCCGGGATATTTATCATCTGATAGCTCCCTAGCCATTTGCAATATCCACTTGGATATTAGTGGTCATACTATTTTATTGCCCTGACACCACCACCACCATGCCTTTTTAGCGGTATATGTAGCGAACTTATAATATTCGACTTCTCTAGGTTTCCCTTTCTAAAGCCAGAAGAATTGACTACCGTCAACCAATTATGGTAGGTACAATGATATGTCAAAGCTAATCGTAGGATATCAAAACTCAACAACCTGATGTCATAACTTGCCACAGAATGTTCGCCCGGCGATATATTTTATCACGGTGTATTCCTCTGTGTGGCGTTCGCTCGTACTGCGCCTGCCAGGTCTAACGCAATACACACTGTTCAATTAAGACGCAGATGGGATCGACTGCTTAGACGTCGAGTCGCATAGACGTCCCCGTTTGCCTGACGTCTGCGGATCGCTTCGCTGTGATGTGTCGTAGACTATACAACGGGGCGCTATCTGACACGCTCGATGAAAGTGTGTGTTTCAATGGAGTTGTGTGGGGGCACTGCACCGATATCTATCGAACCTGACTGGTTGTATGTTCTGTGTGTGTGTGTGTGTGTGTGTTGATGTGTGGCGTTTGTGAAGGGGACACTGATTGTGGCCAAGGGTAATGGCGTCCGCAGAGTGAAGTCATTTGTGAGGGATAAATCTTCATCCTGTGGAGCTTGACGCCTTGAAGTGGACTTGCTTGTTTGAAGATTCTGCATCGGTTATGATGCATTTATGCCTGAATAATGTATTTTATGTTTAAAATATGTGAGCGATGACCATGGACCGTTGGTGATTGGGTAGTGCGATGTCGATAATATATTTTGTCTGAGTATATTTTGCATTTAAGCTTCTTTGTGTCAGTAGCTCAAAACTTTGTTTGGCCCGGTTGTATAAAACTGGTTTAAGAAAATTCGGTAAGATGAAGCTGGACTACGGTCGTTCATCCGACAATGCTGTCAAATTAAACTCAACCCGTTGTTTTTATTTTATGTCTAATAAAACCACCCACGAGATCTCGAGTACCAATACGGCGGCGGGCCGGTCATTTATTACAAACTGGTAATGAATATCTTAGCATGTGTAATGGCTGTGCTGTCCCACTTTGGCCTCCCGTAACGCTTGAGTGGTTACGTTCTAACTGTAGCCAGCAGTACCCGGAGCGCAGGCTAAATCAGACCCGTGACTCCGGAGTAAGACATGTATGCTGCCTTGGGTTCGGAACTATCTGTACGGGGATTTGGGATTGAGTCCACGGAGCTCATGGCCTTTCAAATATGTAATTATGCATTTTGTATCGTTTCGGGCGTTTCGTGCGGCTTTTTTCCGTATGGATCAGTTATTATGGAGCAGTCAAAGGAACTGACCTTTTACGTTTAGGTCAGTGTTTGTGACTAGTTATATGTTTTCTACTTTTTTCACGCGATGACGTCCTGCTCTATAACTCTCCTTTAGATGAGTGCTTTGGCGACTGGCTTCCTTTTGTTGCGATCATAATGTTTGGATAAAAGAGGCATGTGATTATTACTTCATTTCTCGTGTATTTATACGAAGTGCGCAGGTTCTGACATCACTGGATAAACATGACTCGTTTTGAGTCTAACAAGCTGACGCTTGAGCAACCTGCTACGAAACACACATTCAACACCCTTCGATTGTTACATGGTAATGCCGTTTTTAGTGCCCACGACAAATCACGTAAATATTGTAACTAGAAGATGATACAAACGATATAACAAATCACTAATATCAACAGAGATAAACGTTTCAGGACGGACACAGCACATGGGACATGGGCACAGAAGGACGCATGCCGCTCACATCTCGCTCAGAATAAATGCCACAGAACCATGCATAACACAACAGCTTTTACAATGCGCCGTGAACGAGATGTCACACCGATATCCAAGAATACAATGTGCGCACTGCGCTTACATCCACGTGATACGTCCCCTACCCGATCACTCATACTCTCACAACGCCACACCACATCTCGCGTAACGTGACAGCAAATGCACGGCCGTAACAACGTGACGACATCGTAACGAACGTCGACGACATATTGCATCGGACGGCCGTGGGTCGCAAGACCCAAATACACATAAAACAAAATATGGTACAACAAATAACAAAAATGGCATAGCTACATTTTCCCGTCATGCCGAACTCATTTCACGTTTGATGGCAGACATCAGCTAGAAAATGGATCATCCATCCATGCCCTTCGCTCTCGGTGACCGTAAACTTTTTCATGCCACTCAATTGGCTCCGTCAATTCGACACTGGCGGCTTCTCTCTGTAAGAAACCTTTACTTTTTCCATATTTGTTCATAGCTTCGTATGCCCTATTTGGTTTTGAGCTCTGATAATGCCTCAAACTGTCATTTTACTTGTAACAGTGCATTAGTTCTTGGTCCCAGCTTCAGTCATCTGCTTCTAATAATGCCTCAGATTTTTACTAGCCTGCGACCAATCGACACTGGTAATTCATGATCACTCGGTCCTGCTGATCAGTTTTCTTGACATTTTCTCTTGAAATGAGCCCCTGTTTCGGATGACCCTTTCCTGTGAACGAATCACTCGCCTCAGATGAGCCGCTCATCGCTAGAGGACCAGTTGACGGCGCTGTTGGAGCCCTCCGAGACGGCTTCGGCGAGTGAGCGAACGTGCCGCAGCGAGGCGCGGTGCTCGGAGACCTCCCGCGGCCGGGAGGAGTCCCTTGGTCGGCGGCGCTGTTGGCGAGGTTCGCTCGGGCTCCGCCTGACCGCGCCCGCCGACGCAGCAGCCGCGGCCGCCGCCAGCACCGCCGGACTGGTGGCCCGTGACAGGCTGCGCCTGCTGCGCCGCTCGGGACTGCGCGCGCGCGACTGACTGCGGTGGCGCACCTGACGCTCAGGAGATTGCGCTCGCGAGTGGCTTCTGTGCCGCCTGTGCTGCTCCGGACTCCGAGCTCGCGAGTGACTGCGCCGCCGACCGCGGTGTTCGGGGCTGCGAGCTCTGGACTGACTGCGGCGTCTGGCGCCGATCTCTGGACTGGCAGCTCGCGAACGGCTGCGATGGCGGTGTGAGGCGCGGCTGCTGGTCTCAGCTGGTGACTCTTGGTGACGGATGGAGGATAGCTCGGGTCCGCGCCGGCTACCCTGGCGGCTGCCATGCCGGCTGCTGCCTCCGCGTCGTGATGGGGTTGCCGTCGCCTGCTGGGATCCCGAAGGTGCTCGCCTCCGGGACCTCTTAGACTCGCCAGCAGAGGCCGAAGCAGCTGAGGTGATGGCGTCTGAAGCAGCGGCAGCAGCTGCCGCAGGCGTGGGAGGCAGTTCGTCTGAGCTGCGCCGATAGAGGACTCCCTGCACAGGTCCGTCGCTCGGGCCGGGCCGCGGCCGCGCCTGTCCGCTGCCGAATACGTACGAACCGTGCAGCCACGAGGTGCCGCGACTGGCAGCGCGTCCCGCCTCGGAGCCGCTGCCTTCGCGCTTGTGATCCAGCGTCGCCTGGTCGTCTGAGGTGTCGGCCACAGACCCAGCACTGCTCGAAGTCGAACTCACCAGCTGGCCGGCGGAAACGTCCAGTCGACGCACGCTGTAGCCGTGTGGCTTGGGCTGTTTCACACCCAGCGAGGAAATGTTGCTGCTGTAGCCAACCGGTAGCGCCATGTTGCTGCGGAACTTCTCCGCACCTCCCAGCGACTCGGACCTTCCGTTGAACCACGAGCCGAGTTTGTGCGTGGGTGCGTCACCGCCGCCACCGGCCGCGGAGCGGTGAGACCGCGCGGAGGACATCCGACTGCCGAGACCCTGGATATACTCCGAGTGCATCAGTCTCGACAGCAGGGCGTACACGCTACAGTTTCTCCTGCACTTCATCGTGACGGCGACGATCACCAGACAGAAGACGCTGAGGCCGGCCGTGGTTCCGATCAGGATGTAAGCGATCTCCTCGGAGGAGAGTGAAGCTGACTTCACTGGCTCTGCGGGAGCGTCGTCGGTGGAGTTGGCGGGTAGCTCGTACCCCGGCACGGCGTTAGAACGGTCCAGCGCCGGGCCCTGAGACGGCAGCTCTGCGAGGAGGGCGATCTCGGTCGTGCTGGTTGACGTCGAGGCTGTGGTGGTGGACGGCGTTGTTGAAGTTGTGGAAGGACGAGGGGGTGGTTGGTACGCAGGTCTCACCGGCCTCTCGTACTGACGTGGAGGCTGGGTTATTCTAGTTCGCTGGGTCGGTCGGGACGGTCTGTTTGGTTGCGGAAGTCGGGTTGGTCTGGCAGGCTCGGGCAGCAGAGTTGTTCTCGTAGGCTCGGGTAGGTTCGTTGGTGTGACAGGCTGAGGTCTCGGAGGTCGGGCAGGCATGCTGGTTACCCTTGTCTCTGGACGCTCAGAGCTGCTCGGAGTCTCGCTGGTCGTCTGCGACTGCCACTGCTGGAAGTCGACTGGCTTCTTGTCCTCCACCCTCTGTTCGTAAACGTCGTACCTCTGATACTCTCCTCCATCGCCATGATACCCTCCTTCGCCAACAGCCGCCAGCCCGTACCTCTTTCTCAGTATGTTCCTGTCGATCGCAGCTTGTTCGGTCCGGTTTGGCCGGTGACTCAGCACACTGGAAACGATCGCGCCAAGAGTCTCCAGATCCTTCTCCGTAGTAGTCTGGGCTGGAGAGCCGATCTCGCTCAGGTCCGGTAGAGGTGCGGAAGCGGTGATGATGTCCTCGTAGTCACCGTAGTCTGCAGCCTGAGTAGGTGATGCTGCTGGGTAGTAGTTCTCTGCTGGCGGTGGAGGTCGTGTCAGACGCATCACTGGATGCTCGGTGGTGGCAGCTGGCGCGGGAGGAGCTGTAGGTTGCAGCTGAGGAGGTGGGTGGTGGAAGGTGTCTGGCTGGTCATGTGGTGGTCCTGCGACTTCGTGTCGTTCATGAGTATTGTGAGGTGGTCCTTCGTGAGGTCCGTGAACGTCGTGGGACGTCTGATGATCAAACATATGCGGTGGAGGGCCTGGCAGTTGCGGCCCGAGTGGCAGACGAGGCGGTGGTGGCGCCAGGTGAGGCGGAATCGGCCTACCACCCTGCAGTCCGGCTAGGAACTGAGGCAGCCTCAACTCTACCAGTGGAACCCCGTTCACGGTACTGTCCATCGGCCGTCTTCCCGGCCGACCTTCCGTGTTGTTCTCTGGCCGCTCACTGGAGGGAGGCCCATCTCTGTTCTGTAGCAGGTGTGGGAAGTGACCTCGGATCGGTAGTTCGGGTCGATCAGCTGACGGCGGAGGTCGAGTCGCCAGCATCATCGGTTTCTCGGGCGCGTCTGGTCGCCAGTGAGACGCGAGGTCCAGCGGTGGGTGCATTCCGGCAAGAACTTCCGGTGGCGGTCTTGGACGGCCCCCTGGACGAGGTCTTGGACGAAACTCTGGCCGCATTTCGGGACGACCGTCAGCTGGACGGCCAGGCCGAGGACCCTCTTGGTCTTGGTTTGGCCTGAAGTCAGGATGAGGACCCTCCTGAACCCTGTCAATGGCGAAGTCAGGCGGTGGCCTTTCTCGATCATCGTGAACTACAGGACCTGACCATGGTCTTCCCTGGTCTCCGAACCAGGGCGGCTGGGGGCGGTTCTGAGGTCTGTCTGGATTGAAGGCAGGCCGTGGTCTAGGTCTTCTCCGGTTGGCGTTGAACCCTGTTCCTGGTCTGGGCGGGCCGAAAGGCCTCTCTGGTCTTGTCATTGGTGGTCTCTCCGACTCGGCGACTGCTCCCACTCTGTTCTGAGGTCCATGCGACATCATCGGTGGTCGTCGCTGGTCTGCGTCTTCCTCTGCGCCGTGCCAAGGTCTGCCTAGTCCCGGTCTGTTAAGGTCAATGGGTCTCATCCAAGGCCTTCCTTCATCCATTCCTTCTTTCTCAAGCGGCCTCGGCCGAGAGTCACTGTCGCCCTGGCCGTCTGTAACCTGCATTCCGTTGATGATCCCGAACGGCAGCGGCAGCTTGGGCAGCCTCAGCTGCGGATCAGACAACGGGATCGTTTGAACTAGCGGAACGTCGT